CCAAAAATCCAAAGGAACCTCAGGAGGCACCCAGAGCCAGGAAATCCCAGAATCCTTAAGGTGGAAAAGACTTTGAGCTCCAAGTCCAATCACATCATGGAAAATAATCACAAGAGAATCCCAATTCCCAATTCCAATCCTAATTCCAGTCCCAGGGATGGGGGACTCTGCCCTGGCTATCCTGTTCCAATGGTTTCAATGAAAACAATCCTTCCAATGAAAAAAAATTCCTGATATCCAATCTAAACTGAGCAGGGCTTAATGGGACTGATTAGAGAGTAAAATATGGTGGCAAGTGACATAAAAACATCATTTAGGCAAATCTGAAGGTGAATTATCCTCAAAGATGTGAGAAATGGAGTTCCAGTTCCAGGAAAGATTATAGAAAAATAAACCAGACAGGTCTGGTAGAAGATGAAATAATATATTTACAAAAATAAACATTTTTTAAAATCACATCATGGAAAATAATCACAAGAGATTCCCAATTCCCAATTCCCAATTCCAGTCCCAGGGATGGGGGACTCTGCCCTGGCTATCCTGTTCCAATGTTTTCAATGAAAACAATCCTTCCAATGAAAAAAAAATTCCTGGTATCCAATCTAAACTGAGCAGGGCTTAATGGGAATGATTACAGTGTAAAATATGGTGGCAAGTGACATAAAAACATAATTTAGGTAAATCTGAAGGTGAATTTGCCTCAAGAAGTTCCAGCTCCAGGAAAGATTATAGAAAAATAAACCAGACAGGTCTGGTAGAAAATGAAATAATGTATTTATAAAAATAAACACTTTTTAAAATCACATCATGGAAAATAATCACAAGAGAATCCCAATTCCCAATTCCCAATTCCAATCCCGGTTCCAGTCCCAGGGATGGGGGACTCTGCCCTGGGTTCCTGTTCCAATGGTTTACAGCCCTTCCCATAAAAAAAAAAAATTCCTGGTATCCAATCTAAACTGAGCAGGGCTTAATGGGACTGATTACAGTGTAAAATATGGTGGCAAGTGACATAAAAACATCATTTAGGTAAATCTGAAGGTGAATAAGTTCCAGCTCCAGGAAGGATTTTAGAAAAATAAA